TTTCAACTAGTAAATTCTGTTTTTCATGATTCCATCATGTAATATCTTATTTTATATTTTCAATATTAAATCCCTTTATTTCAGTAATTGAGCTAATTTTTAAAATTCATTCATCTTACTCTGTTAATTTGTCTAATTTTATGATGATTATTACATAACTCTGATATTACTCAACTTGAAAGGATTATCCAGGACAGAGTTCGATGAAGTGTGATGGTGGATGGCCTATGCTCCTCCATGAGTAGGAACAGGCCTAAGTAAGTAATGACATTACTATTCATTCTCTGGAAACATGTTTTCATGTGGGTTTTTTTCTCGGACAATTTTCTTCTAGAATAATTCTTCCATAACTGTTGTCATTATTCTTTTGATTTACATTGACATGATATAAAGTATATACATTAATTATAAATGTAACTTCGATCCTAATTATTGTGAATTAAACCTATCGTAAAAAGATAAATACGTTACCATCATAAACCGACGAAACGTAGAGTATATTTCAGAAATCAGGATTTAAAAAAAGAACTAACCGTTTTCTAGGATACATTAAGCATAGCAGAAGTTAGTAGTACGAGTACTTTGGCAGACGGTTCGAATTTAAATGTCCCGCGGAGGGGGGAGGGAGAGAATTATTCTACTTTCCATCAGATGGTTGAATGATAATTTCGAAAAATTAATTAGATACACCAATGTACACCAGAATTTAATTATGTGTAAACTGTCCAATACAAACATCTGATAGATGCAAAGTCAGTCAGTCAGCTACAACGTAGGACCAGGCATATTTATGCATCGGTCCAAGTTGCTCATTCCTCGTTAGCACAACAAGATGAACACCGGATTTATAGAAATAGTTAATTTAGTGGTGGTAGCATATAAAAGATAGGTTGAATATAAAGATATAGTATAGGAAGGAAGTTATGAAGCAATCTTAATCTTAAGGTTTAAGGGAAGATGAAGAATGTGTATACACCTACTCCATTGTGATCGATTCTGAGCCATGTCACACAGAGTCTCCAACCACTGGTTACGATAGTCACGCGGACCTCAACCAGGTAGTCTGCACCCTATAATACTTCTAATCTAACGCAATATCGAAGCAATACGCACAGTATGCACATATGCCTATAAGAGACTGATCAATTACAGTCCTAAACATTAATGAGAAGATTCAAGTATACAATACATAAGGAATTTAAACTTCACCCTATTGCACAAGAAAGTGGCTATCAAAGCTCAGTAGTTAAGCGGATAACGCGATGACATTTGAAACAAACTATTCTATGTTGAAGTCTAAGAGTGAACATCAATTCTGAAATGTATATATATCCATCCAACGATTGTCAAATAGGACAACGAAATGTACGTCCTGGATTCCCCTATTAGCCACTATACATCTTTTCTTATAATAACTTTATTCGATTAATATTAGTCAACTTTATATCTTTTATTCACTTATAATACATTCAGAAATCTTCGACTCTATTTAGTAAAAAGAAAAAAAGAAAAAGAAAAAGAAAAGAGAAGTAAATGTAATCTGATTAAATTGTCATTTGTCAATGTGAACATTATTTCAATTAAAAGAAGATTTGATAAATATGATAAGTTTCCAATGAATTAAGTAGTATATACTTAATATGAATGTCATATAAGATATATCATAATAACTTATATATATATATATATATATATATATATATATATATATATAGGTATATATAGGTATATATACATACTTAATCACTACATAGTGATTATATTAAGTGGGGGGGGGTAAACTATTAAGGTTTTATATAATGAGTTAACTAAATGTCTTTTAGGTGTATTTCTCAAGGGATTGAATATAAAAGAAGAAGAAGAAGAGCAAAGTTATTTAAATGGTAACATACTTAAAGAGAACATGTTTGTAATATCAGTAGTAACAATCTTTATGGATAATAAGTATACATAATCAAATGTTATGTAATCATGTATAATTATGTAATCTGATTGATTTTTTTTTATCTTTAATCTTTGATAAAAGTAAAGATAAAGAAGAAAGAACAACGAGTAATAAAATGAAAAAAAAAAAAAGAAATGTGGGAAAATTGACATTGATGATAAATGAATATGATCACTATGGGAGATTTTAGTATATTTATAGTTGAATTTATGATTTGATCTAAGCTGAATTACTAATTAAAAATGTGTGAAAGATTGGATGGTCTTTTTGTCTTAGTATTTATTTATTTAAACACATAAATATTGGTACAAAGGGGAATCGGATATATATGCGCCACAAAAATCAAATGAGATTTGTGTGAGGGCTGTGATACTGCCCAGGTACCCGAACCGAAGCAGGTAGTTTACTTAGGCGGCCATAACCCGAGCCTTTGACCCAAAGATCTGATCCACAATACGATGGAGCATCGTAAGGTGATGCACTCCCATGGTAGCTGGTGACTAACAATAAATTCATACACCTTATGTTTCCTTAGGATACTGGAGCCCATGTGCACCATTGGTTTGGAATTAGGGTTTTTCAACTCCCCTAGGTGGACCCTTCGTGTCCACCAACCCGGTTAAAGCGCCTGACATTGGCTTTTCGTCCTCTCAATTTCGTAAACAACAGTAATGCCACGAGAAGGTAGTGAGTAGGACTTCCCTGGTAGAGGCTATATACGCGTGACCATGTGAGAACATTTCGAGAGGGAGAGAAGACTCTCCACTCTCGATCGTACAAGGGCATTTGGGGGTTTGTCCTAGTATAGGATTCAATGGTGGTCTAGCTGAAATTGATTAGTGAATTCAGCAGTGAAAATTAAAATCAGGAAGAACAAGAGGACAACGATCAGGAAGAGACGAACAAGAACAGAGAAATTCAAAGCACAAACTGAATACAGAGATGCAAACAAGCAAGTGTTAAGGAGCTTTAGAGTTGACAAGCAGATATATGTGGAAGAGGCTGCAAGAGTAGGATATGTGAGACAACTATATGAAGTGACGAGGAAAATATCAGGAAAGCGTTGCAAACCAGAGAGATCAGACAATGACAAAGAAGGCAAAATAACCACATCGCGTCTGAATTGGAAGCATGGATTAATAGAATGAATAGCAATTGGCAACAACCCGAAAGGATTGCCTAAGGCAATGTTCGATGGAGAATCTCAGTGGCAGTTTATGTTCCTCCACGAGTGGTAACAAGCATAAGTAAGTTCCATCGATAAATATCTGCCGTATAGGGAATATCACTCAAGCCTATTGATCATGACATTTCGACTAGAACTCTAGGAATTACCTTCAGGGATTATTTGCTATTGAACATACAATTATTATTATTATATCATTCTGTTATGTAAAATATAAAACAACCATAAGTATTACCCCTATCCTGTATCTGTTCAAATATGACTTTCCGAGTCACCTAATATCAGCAACAGCGTTTTATCGGAGAAGACAAACTAGCTTCCATCGGAAGAGGAAATTAGGAAAAGACATTGGAAGTGGATAGGACATATATTGAGGAAATCATCAATGTGCATCACGAGGCAATCCTTAACTTGGAATCCGGAAGGGAAGCGGAAAAGCCAAAGAACACATTACGCCGGAAAATAGGAGATATGAAAAGGATGAATGTTAACTGAAAAGGACTGCCCAGGACGTAGTTGGATGGAGAATGCTGGTGTGCGGCCTATGCTCCTCCACGAGTGGTAACAGGCGTATGTAAGTAAATCACCCACTAGAAAAAAAACTTTTCTCTTGAAAATTCCTTGATACCATTCCCTGCTGCTCTTGATGATGATGATGATGATGATGATGATGATGATGATGATGATGATGATGATGATGATGATGATGATGATGATGATGATGATGATGATGATGATGATGATGATGATGATGATGATGATGATGATGATGATGATGATGATGATGATGATGATGATGATGATGATGATGATGATGATGATGATGATGATGATGATGATGATGATGATGATGATGATGATGATGATGATGATGATGATGATGATGATGATGATGATGATGATGATGATGATGATGATGATGATGATGATGATGATGATGATGATGATGATGATGATGATGATGATGATGATGATGATGATGATGATGATGATGATGATGATGATGATGATGACGACGACGACGACGACGACGACGACGACGACGACGACGACAATGAGAATATATATGATAAAATTACATTGGAAGAACATCATGTTCATAACTCTGTTTTTTGTTTAAATAAAAGACAAATAATAATCAATCATAGATACCTTTTTGATAATTTATGTGTTACATATGTACATTGGAAAAGTTTTTTTACACTTTAACCTCGTCATTTACCCATTCTAGTGTTGTTGTTGTTGGTGGTGGTGGTGTCGTTTCCCCTCCGCCCTTTAATATCTTTCACATTTTATCATATACATATATCTATTACATAAAAATATAAATTATGAAAATTACCATCATCAATCACTTATATAACACAAATCTATTTTTATAAGATTAAAATATATAATTAGGTAATTTAAAAATATGTTTTGGGGGGATATTTGTGTCTATGTGTGTATGTATGTGTGTAGGTATGTAGAATTGGGATTTAAGGGATATAATGAAACCAATTTATCAACATGAACATATGAATGTTGCATAGTTTTCATAATCATTATTCATCATCATCATCTTCTTCTTCTTCCTCCTCTCCCTCCTCCTCCTCCTCCTCCTCCTCATCATCATCATCATCATCATCATCATCATCATCATCATCATCACACAACTTTCTTCCCCACCTTCTTTCTTATCACTTCATTGCAATTACATTAGTTATGATGAACAACAACAAAAAATTAAAAAAATACAGCCTATCTTGTCAGTTGTCATTAATTGAAATATACCATTGACCTTTTCAATATTCTTTATTTTTTTTTATCTATTTCCCATCGAAAATCATTTTGATATTTCCATTTGTAGTTCGTTTCTGGTATAGTTTCTCAATATTCCTTTTCTTCTTTCAACCATGTTGAATGAGAAACATAGGATTGAATATGTATAGATGATGATGATGATGGAGGTATGTGTTCAGTCAACTTTTTTTCGCAATGGATTGTCTTATCAATAATTGACCTTTAACAAGAAAATATACACGTGCCAACTGAGAGATACACAGAGAGAGGGAGGGAGCATGTGTGAGTTAGGATATGTATCTGTGTGCATTGTGCATTTTGATATGTACAACTGAAAGGTAAAAAAAGGGGAATCCATTTGTCATTTTTTTTTAAACTAATCATTCATGTGTTAGATTTCCTTGTCAGAATATCATTTAAATGAGATAACACTAATCAAAGGTGGTAATGATAATAAGCTAATGTAACCATCCTTCGTAACATGAACAACATTAACAAGTCTGAATGTAAAAACAAAAAAATTATCATTATCCTTGTATGTTAACAAAAACGTATGTTATTGTAATTTACCATCAACTACATATTACAAAAGAGAACAGAAAAGGATAAAATTACATGCACATACATTATTATTATTATTATTATCTAAAGTGATCATGTGAATTATCAAGTACAACCGATTTTCTTCCGCTGTCCCTCTCCCTCTGTTCTTCTGTGTGTGTGTGTGTGGAGGGGAGGGGCAATTCTATGTATAAAGATGAATGCGAACAGTAAAATACAGAAAACAGTCGTAACATCATGTGTAATTAGTAATACGGTTGTAAAGTTCATGGTAATCGTCATCATCATCATCATCATCATTTGGGCATAATGAATAATGAATTCGATAATTATCAATTAAATTGTAATACGTGTTATTTTACATAAACATAATTTTTTTAATTAATTAGCTGATAGAAATGAACAGAAAATTCTTAGCATTATCAGAAGGGGGTTTTGTGGAGATTTTAGTAATTTTTATATATAGTTGAGATCATGAGTCAATTGAAGCTAGACTACCATCAAAAACCTGGAAGCAATGGACGGCTGTTTCGGTCTATTGTGGGACTCCTCAGCAATAGGGTGCATCCACGATCCCGCCTCGCGAGCGAGATTCGAACCCAGAACCTACCAGTCTCGCGCCAGAGCAATTAACCTTTAGACCATTGAGCCGGCATCCAACGGTGTTAATTTCAATCCACGAAATTGATCAACCATTGACCAATATCCTCAGTGAGTTGATATCTCTCAACAGATCTAATTGAACTTCACTGGTTACTGCTTCTCACTAGAACTCCAAGAAATACCTGATGGAGCCAGTCACTAGTAAGCTTATGATCATGTTTTTAAATCACAAATTAATCTTATTTAGGCCATAATTAAAAACCATTATTACAGAAGTCATCTTTCATGCGCATCACAAGAGAACCTGGATTCCATTCCCCGTGTAAGAGTTATGGATACTTGCTGCTAAGGTGCTTCATAATAAAACGAAACATTTGTCCAAAGCTGCTTATTTCTCAATGATAGTCTGATTAACCTAAATTCGTCATTCAAGGCTATGAAAAAATAAGTTATCATGAATAAAATTTGTCTAGCTATCCCTTGCTAAACTTTACTCTCTATTACTCATTCAGATAACATGCATTTTATTTGTACTGATAAGTCAAACTGGTATCAATGAATGATTCATTTAATCAGTATATTATATACAGAGAGATATGTAGCTTGTTGAACTAAATGACAAAAACGTATTATGAACATAAACGTTGATTAACGGTAAAGATTAGAAATATTTATCTGGTTATGTTTAATGAATACATTAATCAAGTGCAATAGTAGAACTAGTATTAGGAGTAGAATTGGTGGTGATTGTATTAATAGTAGTGTATTAGTAGTATATAGCAATATCTTACTTACTTATGTCTATTACCTCTTGTGGAAGAGAGTAGGCCGCCAACCAGCATTCTCCATCCAACCCTGTCCTCGGCAATATTTTCCAGTTCTTTCCAGTTGTTATTCATCGTTTTCATATCTGCTAATCAGAAAAAAATATATAGCAGTATACTAGTTGTAATATATTAGTAATAGTAGTATATGTTGTTGTTATTGTAGCGCTGATTGGATAACTTGGAATTTACTTTGGTACACTATAAATTTAAAAGATGCCCCATCTATCTCAGTTTAGATAGTTAGATAATATCAACAATTCTTATAATATCGAACTATTTTTAAGCTTAGTATATACGCTAGTATGACACTCATTAAATACGATTTACTACATATCGTTTCCTATCACCAAACATGTTGACTTATTTATTCGAAGTATTTTTCAACCGATTGTAAATATAAGCAAATATTGATAGTGGCCAGTAGTGGAATTCACGACGCGCGCCACTTCGTCCTATTTGGGACTCGTCAGCTGGACGTAGCTACATCTAAGCGTTGATGTTCACTCTGTGACTCTAACCTAGTACCTTTCGCTTCAAATGCCATCACGTTATCCACTTAGCTACTGAGCCTTGATATATGCTTGTGAATTAAGACTATATTGAGGCAATACGCACAGTATGCATATATACCAATGAGAGACTGATCAATTGCAGTCCTAACTGACAATAGGAAGATACAAGTAAACAACACCATTTGAATTTAGAATGTAAATGTGTTTTTATTTCATTTGATTATTGTTGACTTATGAGTTTACGACATATATTGCAACTAAAATTGTAAACCAGAACAACCTATACCTTGTTTAACCTTTTCTTACTAACTAAACAGTGAACTTCATGAATTAAGTGACTTTTTAGATGATTAAAGGTTCTTAGACGATGTTGTTATCGTTTAAAAAATGAATATCAAAATTTAACTTCAACCATGAGTTCAATTATGATGTATAATATGGAATATCGATTGAATTCGGAAATGTGAATCAATAAATCCCGACTTAGTATTCTAAAGATAATGTATTTGTTGTGAAGTATTATTACCAATTCAAATCCGTTGGCCAGACACTATCAGCAACAATCTACTGTGTAAGAGAGAACATACCAGAATCCAGAGGAGGAAGAAATCAGGAAGAAGCGCTGGAAGTGGATAGGGCACACATCGAGGAAATCACCTAACTGCGTCACAAGACGAGCCGTCACATGGAGTCCTGAAGGTCAAAGGAGAAGTGAAAGACCAAAAAACATATTACGCCGAGAAATGGAAACAGATATGAGAAGAATGAACAAAAATTGGATAGAACTAGAAAGGAAGAAGGAAGACAGTGTGGGTTGGAGAATGCTGGTCGGCGGCCTATGCTCCATTGGGAGTAACAGAAGTAAGTAAGTAAGTAAGTAAGTAAGTAAGTAAGTAAGTAAGTAAGTAAGTAAGTAAGTAAGTAAGTAAGTAAGTAAGTAAGTAAGTAAGTAAGTAAGTAAGTAAGTAAGTAAGTAAGTAAGTAAGTAAGTAAGTAAGTAAGTAAGTAAGTAAGTAAGTAAGTAAGTAAGTAAGTAAGTAAGTAAGTAAGTAAGTAAGTAAGTAAGTAAGTAAGTAAGTAAGTAAGTAAGTAAGTAAGTAAGTAAGTAAGTAAGTAAGTAAGTAAGTAAGTAAGTAAGTAAGTAAGTAAGTAAGTAAGTAAGTAAGTAAGTAAGTAAGTAAGTAAGTAAGTAAGTAAGTAAGTAAGTAAGTAAGTAAGTAAGTAAGTAAGTAAGTAAGTAAGTAAGTAAGTAGGTAAGTAAGTAAGTAAGTAAGTAAGTAAGTAAGTAAGTAAGTAAGTAAGTAAGTAAGTAAGTAAGTAAGTAAGTAAGTAAGTAAGTAAGTAAGTAAGTAAGTAAGTAAGTAAGTAAGTAAGTAAGTAAGTAAGTAAGTAAGTAAGTAAGTAAGTAAGTAAGTAAGTAAGTAAGTAAGTAAGTAAGTAAGTAAGTAAGTAAGTAAGTAAGTAAGTAAGTAAGTAAGTAAGTATCATTACCAAAATTGTGAACCTTGATAATGTCTTGCATACACACTTCTAAGCAATCATTTACTAAGACGAAATATCCCTTAAATGGTTACTAGTTTTCAATAACTATTAGAGTATTATCCCATTTTTGATAACATTTTTCAAAGGATTCATTCTTCTTAAAAATCACTAAGTTTATAGATACTGTTGTATTTTTGAAATTAGACATCAACACTAGTGGATGCTGGCTCAGTGGTCTATAGGTTAACCGTCCATCAGCGAGACCGAAGGTCCTGGCTTCAAGTCCCGCGTATGGGATCGTGAGTTTGCACTTCTAAGAAGTCTCATACTAGGACGAGACGACCTTCCAGTGCTTCCAGGTTTTCAATGATGGTCTACCTTAAATCTTTCTTGAAAGTTTGTCACTTCTTCATATACTCTTATATTTTAATTAACTATGATTGCTCTTATATTGTAATCAATATATTGAATAAGAGTTTAAATAAAATGACATCAAATACACTGAATTGTCATGATACCTACTTCCAATAATACTTTAATCAAGTGACAAACGTAATCATTAACAAACTAGTAATGAACATTAATAAACTATTCATCCATTTACACCAATACATTTACTAAATTCTATCATCTATATACTTCATTTAGAGTTAAATCTGTTAGTAACATGAGTATTTTCCATTTAAAAAATTATATTTTGTTAAAAGTCATATTATTATCAGAAGGTGTTTTGTGGATATTTCAGTATTTTCATAATTGCAAGCGTGAGTCAATTAAAGCTAGATCACCATGGAAAACGTAGAAGCACTAGAAGGCCGTTTCGTCCTATTGTGGGACTCCTCAGGAGTGCACATACATGATCCCGCCTCAAGAGAATCCAACCCAGAACCTATCAGTCTCGCGCACGTGTACTTAAACGATAGACCACTGAACCGGCAACCAAAGGTGTTAATGTCTAACTTCAACCAATTCACGAAGTGATGAATCCCAAATAAGACGAAACGCTAATCCTGAATTCCATTGCTAGCCACCATAGAACTTTCTGGATACGAAAACAGTTAAGATAAACTATTAGTACTTTTTTTTAAAAAAAAAGAACACCCCTATACACAAAGAAAAATCAATATTTTCTTTAAAAAAACTTTTGATTGTTGTTGCTTCTTGACAGATGATCAGCAAAAACAGAGAGAGGAAAAACAAGCCAAAGAAACACGTGATTCATTGCATATTATAGACAATGAACACATGATAATTGTAATGATGATGATAATAATAATGAACATGTAAATAGAATATGTAATAGATTTAGTTAAATATTCTTGGTGCCATTATTATTGAATTGAAAAGAAGATTCATTATGTCTGCATGGTGAATGGATCGAAGATCTAACATTCACCACAGAACATTTTCTTAGAGACAAATGTATCACAGTTAAATTGGGATTCGATATCTATCTATCTCATTCTTATATTGTTCATCTGTTTTCATCTAAACACCTTTTGTGAGTGCTTTCAATACTTTATGATCTCGTGCTTACTTACTTGCTTACTTACGCCTGTTACCCCTCGTCGAGGAGGATAGGTCGCTCATCAGCATTCTTCATCCAACTCTGTCCTGAGTTTTCCTTTTCAGTTCATTCCAGTTAACATTCATCCTTTTCATATCTACTTCTATTTCCCAAAGTAATGTGTTCTTTGGCCTTCCTCTTTTCCGCTTCCCTTCCGGATTCCAAGTTAGAGATTGCCTTGTAATGCACATTAATGATTTCCTTAATGTATGTCCGATCCAATTTCAACGTCTTCTCCTAATTTCCTCTTCAGCTGGAAGCTGGTTTTTTGTTTTGTAGTTAACATCATTTGAAAGTAGATCTTTTACTCGTATTCATTCATCAACTACATCTGTGAGCAGTTACTGGTGATATAGAAATAAGTTTTAAGAAGATTGTGGTTAGCCAATTTAAGACGTAGTACCATTCTATGAAGTTACTGACTACTGGACTGACAGATGTTATTAGATTCTGAGAATCTTGGTATGTTTCCAGAGATAATTGTGACCAGTGTTGGACGGTACAACTTTATATTTCCTCGTATATCATGACTTTCATAGTTTTCTTATACTTTTATTCAATGTATTCATTACTTCTCGAATGACATTGCTTATGGCTAACACTTTTTATTATCATTAATAATCTTACTATTTCTAATATTCTATTCTAATATAATGTGTTCACTTGATATGATACTTAAACGTTCCAGGTTCCACATTGCTTACCATTGATTGATCATTCACCTGAGCTATAAATCTTCTCCACCATCTCAAGACTAATGGATTTACCTATCTCTCTTATCAGTGATTTATCTTACTCTAAAAATGTTGTATCCTTTTCAGTGCATAGTTTTCGCTCATTAACAACAATCCAAAATATTCATTATATAATATTTTCATATAAGAATCAAGAGACGAATGTAGAGAATAAGTAAAATACAAAATACAAAAATGGAAGGAATAAGATAATTGTTTACCAAAGTTCTGCTCCAAACTCCGCTAAACCGATGGCCAACGTAGCGAGAGTGATTGTATAAACTTCTTTCGGATACAAAGGTTCGGTTTGTGAATATGGATTATGATGGCTTCAGCTTTGTGCAACAGACGAGCTAGTAAACTATGCGGCAAATTTGATGGAATACGGTAGATAACTTTAAAAGCTTTATTCAGTTCAACTTGATGACCTGTGTCCACCAAGTGAGCAAGAATAGAACTCTTAATCACATTTACCTGTCCTTTGCTCAACCACAACGGATGGCGTTCTGTTATACTTTGACGAACTTGCCTTCCTTTTTATTTATCAAATGTCAAAATGGAAATTTTCACCATAATATATCTAGATTAAATTCAGCTTAGTATTGTTTGTTTGAATCTTCCCATTGATATTTAGGACTGCAACTGGTCAGTCTCTTATTGGCATATGTGTATACTGTCCGTATTGCCTCTATGTAGTCTTGATTCACAAGCATGGTAAGC